TACATAATAGATACATATATTTAATTAATAGTGATTAATATTTAACAGAAATATGAATATATTTAAAGAAGAACACGTGAAATTTATAAATAACTGAAAAAAAGATATATAAATAATTATTTAGTAATAATAATTAATAGTGGTCTTCCACGCTACCCATAAGGTGCCACTAATAGCGCGTTAGATTTTTTTAAAGTGGATCTTCGCCTGTAGCCCTATTATACCACTTTTTATTACATTATATATTTACAAAAGATATATATATATATATACCGGGTGGGCCATTTTAATCTATCCACGTAAATTTCTCCGTAAGTAAGCCAAATACAAAAAAATGGTTCAGACAAAAGTTGTTCAGGACAATAAGGGTCACCTATTTGTGTTAGTGACTTTGACCTTAAAGTCAATTTTCAAGGTCATTTGAAGGTCAGAGTTATTTTTTTAAATAAACCCCCTATTTTTGATTCCAAAATCTAATAGCTGGTGTCAAGAGCTTTTCAAAACACTATAATGAAGTTATTTTTCATTAAGAACTTTTCGAGTTATGAGGCTTGTAAATTACAGTATTTTGACATAAAATACAAATTATCTTGTAAAACATTCAATTTTTGGGAATCTTACCTTAATACTTTTATGCATAAAATAATGAGACGTATCAATTGATATAAAGAAAACACATAGTTGCTTTCAAGAATAAATATGTAATTTGCAACATGCAACTGCATACTTTTTTTAAAACCAATGTGTTTATTATTTTTATATTAACATTATTTTAACATTATTTTATTATTAAACTTTATTTTAATTTATTAATTTGATTATATACAGTTGAAAAAAATAGCAAAAAAAGGAAAAAAAGTTGCAAAAAGTAGGTCTCGAATATGGGATCTTTAATATTCAAGCGATTCGCCTTACTCGATTAAAAAACGCTTGATTCTTTGTTGTACGCTGCTGTTGATCAAACAGTCTAACGCACGGCAAGGACGCGTGACGTAAATAGCTTCGCTTGTGGATATAACATGGACATGAACCATCTCAGAAAATAGACGTGACTTTTTGACCGATGCGGAAAATGGACGTGGCTATTTAGTTCCTAAGCCGGCCGGAAATGGACGTGCGTCACTAGCGTACGGCCTAGAGAAAGCATCGTATGGAAAACGGCAGCGTGGCCTCTCTCAGGTTTCTCTCTGGTATTACCGCGTGGTGTGAGATTTCTAACCCTTGTGGATACGTACATATGCGTACACACTGGATTAATCGCAAATAGAGGAAAAGTGCAAAAATGTCGTTTGCCGACCGCAATCTCGATGTTCTTTTACTGGACATCAATGCCAACGAGCCTCCGCTAGGTATATTTCTTATAATCGATACTTGAAATTATCTATAAATGTTCAAAACACATAGAGGTTATTAAGCTTTTAATTTTTAAATTTCTAACAGAAAGAGGAGTAAAATATGGATATAAATATTTACGTTTTTATGATAAGGTCTTTCTGAAATTTTTTGTTTTATATATATATATATATATATATACTTACCACTTTAATGCGTACAATTGTAATTTCTTTATATTTGATAACTTGTATCTTAAATTACTTTATACCACATGTTTTGTTAAAAGCAATAAAAATCTCCTAATATGATTACTTAATGAATATTACTAACCGATCATGACATTAGATATTTATTTTAATGATGAGACATGAAAGATTATGAAAACAAATAAAATTTTTCATATGATTTCATCATACTTGTTAGATTTCTGACTAATGTGTCATGTGGTATAATAGTGTATCTTAATGTTTTCATGAGAGATGCAACATACACAGGAGATAATTAAAAAAAAAAAATAAATAAATTTTTAAGTAAAATTAATTTACAATTATATTGTTCTTACATTAACTTTGGATATAAAATATATAATTATGATTAATGTATATATTAATTATTTCAATATCAAATTTTTTATATAGAGGTATTGATAGCGGTTACTTCGTCACAATCTGAAGAAGTAAAGACAGAAATAGAATGGCACAGAGAGCCTCCAATTTTGAAGAATAAACCTCAGAATGCTATCTTAAGCAATAAACATGGAGCATTGTTAGCAGTAGATTGTCTTGAAATTACTCGGTTCTTTGCCAGGGAAATCAATACTGAACTTTATGGTAAGAATTTGCGAAGATCTTTGTTTATTCTATTGTTCAAGTACGTAGAGATCTAATTGTTAATAGCAATATTAATTTTTTTTTAATTCAAAAATAATATAAGATTAGTTGAAACAATGACTAATTATTATGTACATTTAATTCAGATATACCTTAACATTTGATAACTTATTTTTATATGTTATTAACAGGTGATACTTATTCTTATACAAGAACAGAAATTGATCATTGGATATCGCGTTCTATTTCTAAATCGATGACTGAGAAAAAGAATTTGGATTATCTGGATAAAGTATTACTAACACAAACATGGCTAGTTGACAAGAAAATGACATTGGCCGACATTCATGTATTTAGCAGTTTGCACAAAATAGATATTGCGCAATTTCAGGAAAATTATGTTAACTTTGCTAGATGGTTTAAGTTTATGCAATCGCGTCCTGCTGTAAAAGATGCGTTATCTTTAATTAAAGAGCATAAATTGACTTTTCCAAAATTGAGAAAATTGCATCATCAGGGTAAATTTACGGATTTACCAAGTGCACAATGGGGCAAGGTAAAGTCATACAATATAATTAAACTAATCTAATTTTTTTTAAATTTCCAAAATTTATAATAAGCTAAAAATTTGTATTTTCTATAGTTAGTGGTAAGATTTCCACCAGAAGCAAGTGGCTATCTCCACATTGGCCATGCTAAAGCTGCCCTCTTAAATCAGTATTATGCCGAAATGTATAACGGACAGCTTATCATGAGATTCGATGATACAAATCCGGCAAAAGAGACTGTGGAATTTGAAGAAGCTATACTGCAAGACTTAAAATTACTGAAAATTGAGCCCAATAGGTTTACACACACTTCGGATTACTTTGACAGATTAGAAAAGTGTTGTACTATGCTAATCCAGAGTGGAAGAGCATTTGTGGATGATACCCCGTCAGAGCTTATGAAAGCGCAACGTGATGAAAAGATGAAGTCTGAAAATAGAGATAACTGTAATTATTTCAAAAAAGATGATTTTAATTTCACTAATTTTCTGACAATATCTGAATGATTACTTAATGAGATGTTCTGCTTTTACAGCTGTTGAAATAAATCTTCAATTGTGGGAAGAAATGCGACGCGGCACTGAGTTAGGTCAACGATGTTGCGTCAGAGCGAAGATCGATTATGAATCAAAAAACGGATGTTTGCGCGATCCGACAATTTACCGTTGCAAGTCCGAGGCCCATCCACGTACTGGAGACAAATACAAGTATTTATATTTCTAAATACGACGCAATACTATATAGTCAGCTATGTTAGATTACTTAATTGGTTTAATTATTAACAATTTGAATGCTTCTGCTAGGGTGTATCCTACATATGATTTTGCCTGTCCACTTGTTGATTTTATTGAGAATGTTACTCATCCCTTGCGCACGACGGAGTATGAAGATAGAGATGATCAATATCGTTGGATACTCCAGCAATTTGAGTACGCAATGCCGTTCATCGTGTCGTATTCACGTTTGAATATGACTCATACAGTTCTGTCCAAGCGGAAATTAACGTGGTTTGTAGATCAAGGTCTGGTTGATGGATGGGATGATCCACGTATGCCAACGATAAGAGGCATTCTGAGACATGGAATGACAGTCGAGGCCCTGAAAGACTTCATCATTGCCCAAGGTAGCTCTAGATCAGTAGTCGTCATGGAATGGGACAAGATATGGGCTTTCAATAAGAAGGTTATAGATCCGGTGGCAGTCAGGTATGTTTAATGCGATAAACAGTTTAATGGCAAATCAATCTTTCAAGTATATCTCTATTATATTTTTTAGGTATACTGCGTTGAAGTTTGAAACAATAGTAAATGTTAATGTGATAGATGCTAAAAAGGGATCGTTAACCGTACAAAATCACCCTAAAGATCCTACTAAAGGCACCAAACAAGTGCTAGTGGGTCCGAAATTATTAATCGAACGTGAGGATGCTGAATGTTTAGTTGAGGGACAGAATGCGACCTTTATTAATTGGGGTAATTTAATGATACTAAAGATCAATAGAGTTGATAACAATATAACAAGCGTGGACGCACGATTGAATTTGGAGGATAAAAATTATAAGGACACTTTAAAGATTACATGGCTGGCCGAACCCGAACAGGAAGTTGGAAAGTCAAATCCAATATCGTGCTACACTGTTTATTTTAATCACCTTTTGAACGTCCCGACCTTGCCCAAAGATAGTAATTATCAATTGTTCGTCAACATATCGACAAGGGTAATTTATCAAATATTACTTGCAAACAAGTACATTGCAAATCCTATTACTTGTAAATACTATTACTGTACAATAAAATTCTTATTTTAGAAAGAAGAGCTGATGTTAGGTGAAATGGAACTGCAACGCGTGAAAAAGGGAGAAATAATTCAGCTTCAAAGAAAGGGGTTCTTTATCTGTGATGTTCCCTACGCATCTGCCAGTCCTTATTCATCACGAGAACAGCCTTTAATATTGTTCCACATACCCGATGGACATGCGACTGCTGTACAAAAGACTCAAATGACTGCTGTACAAAAAATTCAAATGATTCAAAAGTTTCAAGAACAGGTAAAAGCAATACATCTTGAGAGAATAAAAACAGTAGTATATGTTTAAACTATTTAACTAATTTTATTATTTACAAAACAATTTATATTTATTTGCTTAAATAAATAACTTGTGTGATAGAGAAATGTATAGCATAAAGTATGTATATATGTGTGTATATATACGTGTATATATAAAGTTGTGTTTTTCTGTTAATACACAGGTTGATGGAAAGAAAAAGAACGATAAAGCAAAAAAATTAAAAAAGAAAGAACCAGAAATTATAGATTTGAAGACTTTGTCGGTTGCAACATTCTCACAATACATACAGGAACAATTCATTAAAGTGCAAGATTTACAGACTAGTCTCCAACTTGAAACGAAAATTCTCTCAGATATGAAAATGCAGTATAAAAATTCCACCGGCCAGGAATGGAATCCAGCTGCTATTAATGATACAGAAACAAAAGACAAAGAAGCTATAAAAGCGGAGAAGATAGCTGAAGAAATTCAGAAACAAGGTGAGAAAGTGCGAAATTTGAAGAGCTCAAAAGCCGACAAGAGCACTATCGACCAAGAAGTGAAAATTCTTTTGAGTTTGAAAAGCGATTACAAAAATGCAACTGGTCGGGATTGGAAACCAGGTCAAACTACAACTGCTAGTGCAGTTGATAATAAAATGATAGAAATTAAAGAGAAAACTTCAAAATCAGTTAAAACTACAGTTGCTAGTAAAGTTAGTGATACGAAGACGGAAGGCAAGGAAAGAATTTTAACGGCAGAGAAAATAGCTGAAGAAATTCAGAAACAAGGCGATAAAGTGCGAAGTCTGAAGAACTCCAAAGCTGACAAGAGCATTATTGAGCAAGAAGTGAAAATTCTTTTAAATTTGAAAAGTGACTACAAAAGTACAACTGGTCAAGATTGGAAACCAGGTCAAATTACAGCTGCTAGTACAGTTAGTGATACGAAGACGGAAAGCAAAGAGGAATCTTTAAAAGCGGAGAAGATAGCTGAAGAAATTCAGAAACAAGGCGATAGAGTGCGAAATTTGAAGAGCTCGAAAGCCGACAAGAGCACTATCGATCAAGAAGTGAAAATCCTCTTGAGTTTGAAAAGCGACTACAAAAATGCTACAGGTCAGAATTGGAAACCATGTCAAACTACAATTGCTAGTACAGTTAGTGATACAAAGACGGAAAGCAAAGAAGAATCTTCAAAAGCGAAGAAGATAGCTGAAGAAATTCGGAAACAATACGATAAACTGATAAATTTGGACTCGAGAGTCGACGAGAGCACTCTCTTTCGAGAAGCGAGAATCCTCGGGGATTTGAGAAGCGACTACAAAAATGCTACAGGCCAGGATTGGAAACCAAGTCTAACTACAGTTGCTAGTACAGTTAGTGATACAAAGACGGAAAGCAAAGAGGAATCTTCAAAAGCGGAGAAGATAGCTGAAGAAATTCAGAAACAAGGAGATAGAGTGCGAAAATTGAAGAGCTTGAAAGCCGACAAGAGCACTATCGATCAAGAAGTGAAAATCCTCTTGAGTTTGAAAAGCGACTACAAAAATGCTACAGGCCAGGATTGGAAACCAGGTCAAGTAACTAATGTAGTTGATGATAAAAAGCCGGAAATTAAGGAGGAAACTTCGAAACCAATTGAAGCTACAAGTGCTAGTACAGTTGGTGATATAAAAACAGTAAGCAAAGAGGAAACTTCGAAACCAGCTGAAACTATAATTTCTAGTAGTGATTCAACAGAATCTACAGATAGCAAAGAAAAAGCAAAAGAGGAAAGGTTCTTTTATCACGTACATGTACATGATGAATTCCTGCGAAATCTATTGAGAAACAAATCAAGCGCTGCACTTATTGAGAAGGCAACGGAGAATCTTGCAATATACGAACAGGAGTACAAAGATAAGACGGGTCAAGATTATAAAGAAGCTCTAGCTAAAAGAAAACAAATGTTAAATGAAACACTGACAAGTGAACATTCTAGACTGCGAACTCTACGGGACTCGAATGCTGACCAGAGTGTTATAGCAGAAAAGAGAAATGTTTTTGATTCATTAGCAAAAAAGTATCAGCTATTAACTGGCGATGATTGGAAGCCAACTTATATAGATATAAATGAGTTAACTGAAGAAATACAAAAGCGAAGCGAGAAAATACGCAGTCTAAAACTCTCGAAGCAAAGTTCGGCGATCAAACAAGAAATGAATATCTTAAAGAATATGAAAGATGACTATTGGGAAGCATTTGGTCAGAAATGGAATGGAAGTAATGCTGCAGCCAATAAGACGGCCACGGATGCATCGAAGTCGGATAATTCGAAAAAATCAAGACTAGGATTGGAAGTAAAGAAGGAGGAGAACTTCTTCGAGTGGTATTCGCAAGTTATCACGAAAACCGGAATGATCGAATATTACGATGTGTCTGGATGTTATATCCTTCGTCCGTGGAGTTTTGAGATATGGAAGGGAATAAAAAGTCACATGGAGTTATGTTTGCAGGATACGGATATTCAAGAATGTTACTTTCCTATTTTTGTCACTCGTGACGCTCTGGAGAAAGAGAAAACGCACATAGCGGATTTCGCGCCGGAAGTCGCATGGGTGACAAAATGCGGCAATTCAGATCTGGCGGAGCCTGTAGCTATACGACCCACATCGGAAACTATTATGTATCCGGCTTATGCCAAGTGGCTCAGATCGGACACGGAGCTACCGCTCAAGCTCATTCAATGGAATAACGTTGTGGTAATTAATTGCTGCTAATCAAAGTTTTGCTCGCGTGATTATTTAATTCGCACTCTGAATCGCTTTACTTTTGTTTTCCAGAGATGGGAATTTAAAGATCCCAAGCCTTTCTTACGCACTAGAGAATTTTTGTGGCAAGAAGGCCATACCGCGTACGCCACTAAAATAGAAGCGGAGGTGGAGGTGATGTCTATCTTGAACCTGTATGCCGCAATCTACGAGAAACTGCTAGCGGTGCCTGTTATCAAAGGCCGCAAGACTGAAAAGGAGAAATTCGCGGGTGCCGAATACACTACTACAGTAGAAGCGTTTATTCCGACCAGCGGCCGCGCGATACAGGGCGCAACGAGTCATCATTTGGGGCAAAACTTCTCCAAAATGTTTAATATACAGGTAGAAGGTATCGCAGGAGGCAATGAAAAGACATTCGTTTATCAAAACTCGTGGGGCATAACTACACGAACGATCGGAGTTATGATAATGGTTTGTACAATCACTATTGCATATAAATAACATGATTTTATGTTAACTATACTTTATAGAATGAATATATATATATATATTTTTTTAATTAGTTGCATGGAGACGATACTGGTTTAATATTACCGCCAAATATTGCACCTGTACAAGCGATTGTTATTCCATGTGGCATAAGTGCGAAAACAGCACCGGAACAGAAACATAAAATCTTTTCTGAGTGCTTCAATCTGGTTGAAAAAATCAGGAATTCAAGTGGTAGAATTAAAGTGAAAGGTGATTTGAGAAATAATCGAACGGTTGGATGGAAGTATTGCCATTGGGAGCTGAAAGGCGTACCCGTGAGAATCGAATTGGGTCCGAAGGAAATTGCGAACAACGAAGTAATGTTGGTGCGCAGAGATACCTCCGAGGCACAAACGGTTAAAGCAGATTCAGTAATTTCAAAATTAACCATGTTATTAAATGATATACAAAACTGCTTGTTTGAGAGGTAAATATCGCTCACAATTATTTTCGACGTCAACGCATTCGCAGTATAATGTAATATATTTAGTTAATATGATTTTGTCTATATAAATATTTATCCAAATATAGAGCGAAAGCGAAATTCGACGAGCGTACCAAGCTCGTGGAAAACTGGAATGATTTCATCACCGAATTCAATAAAAACAATTTATTACTGGCGCCTTTCTGTGGAGAGATAGAATGCGAGGACAACATTAAGGCGGATAGTGCATCGTAAGTCTTTTATACAAAACAAATATTTCTAATCTCTTTTTTCGTCCACTAAACATTTATAAATTGCATTACAGTACGAATACCAGTGACGAACCTGGAACATTATCAATGGGCGCTAAGAGTCTTTGTATACCGTTTGAGCAACCGAAATCAACAACACCATTAGAGGACTTGACTTGTGTTCATACACTTTGTGGAAAGAAGCCCAAGTTTTTTACACTATTTGGCCGTAGTTATTAATACTCATGAAAATAGTACTCTCTTTGTTGCAATTCATTATGCGCAGTAAATTTTGTCACGATAGATTTTGATAGTTAAGTGCAGCATTGAATGTAACGCGTTATTAAAAAATTATAATTTTATTTCTCATTTTTTTTTTGTAATGTATATACATATATATATTTAATGATTTGAATGGACAATTTTATTTTAATATTTTCTAATATTTTATGTCATTTTTATCCATTTACTTTGGGTTATATTTATTTAACACCGTATATTCTTTTTCTGTAATAAAATCACGTAATTTAAAGCACTTGGCAACTAAAAGTTAAAATTAGGAATTAATGTGCAGATTTCTATTTAAAGAGTAATGTCTTCAATCTCTCGTGAAAATGAATGCAGGTGTTACGCACAAAGTAAATAGATGACATGATTCAACGAAACTAAAAGCACAGCAATGAATAATAATAGGGCAATAATTTACACGTTATTCGTAACGATAAACGGTAACGCAGTATTGTACCTATCTACAACTGCCAAAAGAAAACTGCAGCGGACATTGTACGGAAGTTGGATCGCCATCGTGCAGCGTGAAGCAACCTGAAATCTGCATACGATCGATCACGCGCTTACACGCGTCGATTGTTCTCTCACTTCCAAGTATAATGGCTGCGTTCGAATGAGACGCAAATCTTCACTTTCCTCCCGTCGCACACCAAGCGCAAGCTGGCCCCGGGCTTGTCCAAAATTCTAGTGCTCGCAGCCGCTTCAAATGACCGAACGGATTCGCCTTTGTCGTTAGAAGTATCAATGTAGCAGTGAGGCGCGAATTTCAGTCAGGGTGCTAGGTGTCGTGTCCGAACAGAAATCGTGTCGACGGAACCTGCTGCCGTTGCCGAAGAATCGACGTGCGAAAACGGGAGCGAGAGATAAAGAGATTCTTAGTAAATTCTTTAAGACACATACACACGTACGAGGTGGAAGTGACAAGAGATCGAAGATTCAAGCGACTCTCTGTCTTCGAGAAGTAGTCAATGATGAGGAATCGATGAAGGATCACTGGCATGGCCACGCGACTCAGCCCCGAAACTCGGAGGTGAACGCTCTCGAGCAGAGGGGCTATCTCATCGGCAAGAAGATCGGACAGGTTGTTCCTTTAATCTCGTGCTCTCCTTTTATACCGCTTACGCAGACTTCCTTTAACTTTTCGCTTCCGAGATGTGGAATGTGACATGGATTATATTTCTTTGCGATATTTGTGATGACGAATTGAATAAAAAAATGTTTTGCGCTTACATTTTTCTTTGCAACACAATTGCAATTAAGGATTCTACACGCTGTTATATGTGGAACTAACATTTTCAGGGCTCTTACGCGACTGTCCATCTGGCAGAGTATATCGATGGAACGAGTTCCAAGAGAATGCGTCTGGCCTGTAAGATTTTTGACAAGGAAAAAGCACCGCCCGATTTTTTGGAGAAGTTCTTTCCCCGCGAGCTCGAGATTTTAACAAAAATAGAAAATCCGCATATTATTCAAGTAAGATGTCGGAAACGCATTAGTTCATCCTTTCTTTCATTGCTTTCTTTATAGGAAGAAAGAAACAACTCCAACTAAGTTTGCCTAACTATTTTTGACGCACATCATCGTTCTATTCCTAATTAAATTGCATTTATCGAATGGTTGGTCGCGCAGGTACACAGTATCCTGCAGCGCGGCCCGCGTGTCTTCATCTTCATGCGCTACGCCGACAACGGCGACCTGTTAGACTTCGTCAAGAATAACGGGGTCGTGCCAGAACAGCAGTCACGACTCTGGTTTCGTCAGATGGCGTCCGGCCTGCACTATTTGCACGGCAAGAACATCGCCCACCGGGATCTCAAGTGCGAGAACATACTACTCTCGCGCAAGTTCAATGTAAAACTGCCAGACTTCGGTTTCGCCAGATTCTGCATGAATCACGAGGGCAGGCGGGTCCTCAGCCAGACGTACTGCGGCTCGGCGGCCTACGCCGCGCCGGAAGTCGTCGCCGGCACACCGTACAATCCGAAATTGGCGGACGTGTGGTCGCTCGGTATCATCCTCTTCATTATGCTGAACGGAACGATGCCGTTCGACGATGAGAATCTGCCGAAGCTTCTCAAGGATCAGATGTCGCGGAATTGGGTGTTCAGATCGCGCGTCCGAGACAAGGTGTCCACGCTGGCTAAGAATATCGTTCGGCAAATTCTCGAGCCGGACATCACCCTCAGGCTGACCCTCGAAAGAGTGTTGAGCCACGAGTGGGTGAGAGCGAGGAAGGAGAGAACGGGCTCCATTGCCGGCAGGCTTGTCCATTCAGCGCCGCCGAGTCATACTCCGGTTACAACATTCATCGTATTATCGTATTCAAGGCTCTTGGTCTCTTGCTGTAGTTATATCGCATTTTAATGTCGGAAGCACAAAATTAAGTAAACCATTTGCCACTATATATCGAAATAAATTTTAATTTATAATATGTACTATGTTAAGTCACTTTTTTTTTCGAAAATTGAGTTATTATTATCGCGAGACTCTATACTCCAATTTTTAGCCGATGTCAAACAGTTTTAAGTTTTTAGTTACAGCGCTTAAAGATTTTGACAATTTTTGTTAAGATTAATTTCTTTAAAATCTTCAGGAAATCGCAAATATCTCCCAAAATCTGCCACCAGCATCTGTCAAGGGAATAAGTACTCGAAAGTATAATCACTTACAGTCTCTGCTTAAATGGGTGCCTAAAATATTTCATTTTTACAAGAATTATAAACATAAGTATTTTATTGAGAGTACATGAAAAGCGAAACATCTCTTTAGATCCTTCTGAAAAATTATGTTTATATGATTTAACATACTCTGCTTCTGAGGTGCTGATATATTAATAACTAGAATTAATATAAATAAACTAAATAAATTTTTTCGCATGTAACTCGCATGCGATTGCATTGGCAAAATATTATTTCTGAAGAACTTTCTTTCGTGGTTGCTTTCTTTGTTAAAAAATGAATGTATAATTCAACACATGACATAATTTAAATTTTCAGCAAAACTAGAAACCTTAAATACAATTTATCAAATCATTTATCTCGATATATAGTACAGAGAAAAAATTATCTAGTATTTAGATATCTTACTATCGCTGCAGTAAGAAATCAAAAGCCTTCATATTTAATCGATAAAACATCGTAAAATCTTAATTAAATAACTATTCGATCGATATTAGTTGAAACTTTTAAAAATAAGATGAGAAGGATCTTCGTAAAAATCGCCTTAGTATAAAACTGTACAGATTCGTTTAAATTTGGATGCGCAGTTATCTTTTTTAAATTATAACAAATTCAATTATATATAATAATACATAACTCCGAATAATTATACATAACTCCGCATAAACATTATTTCCTGTAAATAACTTAATAATTTGTCACTTGTATAATTAGATGTGTAGAGGCGGTAATCTAGGCGGGTCGGATGCTGCAGGAACCGGAAATGTATCTATTGTCGCGAGGGCACTCCTTGCATTAAGAAATTTAGAAAATCACCATCAACCGTCCTCGAAAATGGTAAATAACTCGGGGAAAGATTCACAACTGCCTATCATTGTCGGATAAAGAGAAGATTCTTGAGGAGAATTGGTCAATCAAGATATACAAAATTGGAAATACAGAAGATTTCAAGCTAACAATTTCAAATAGCCATTTTCGAAGATATTTACACTTGTCTTTTATAGTATTTTTCTTAATTTTCTATTGATCGCGATCAATGGAAATTTACATAATGTTGATAATGTATTGTTGCTTATATAATAAAAACGTTCCTCATTTTGCAATTCGATGTAAATTCCTGTCTAAAGAAATATATGAAAAAAATTTTATTATATTTCATAACAATGTAAAATGTTATTCAACCATTTGTATTTATGCTAAAAAATATTTCAATATATCAAGTATATATATTTCTAAATTTTTTGTTTTTAAATTGGTCTTTTATATAAGACTTTCTATATCTAAGAAAAATATGCAGAAGCTGAGCAAAATCGCTCATCCCATCAATGTGATTACTTCTTTTACTCGGTTACACCGGAATTGATGCTGAAGCGGGTACTTTGTTACTATACAGGTGGTTATTATATATTACGTATTGAATAACTAGAC